TATAGAGTTGTTGGTACCTCCTTGAGCAGGTATTACTTGCTATTTTGAGAGAGTCAGTGACGTACCGCCTTGAGGATCGAGTCAAGCACAACAATAGCTGCATGGCGGGGAAAAAGACAACACTGCCAACTCCTGCCTCGTACAAGTAATGCGATCAAGGTTACTGCGGTTTTAAAGGGAGCCTTTAGTTCGAGTAATCAAGTGATTGCTAGCATAAGATGATAAAGAAGAACCTCCTCCGTACGCGCCCATATTTAAGGCGATTGGTATGTGAGGATCGTTATAAATATCCACTTTTTGGTTATATTCAAGACTGTTGAAAACGTTTGAGGACGGAGCCCAAGTGTATACAAGGGCAGCGGAGACGAGGAGAGTAGAAAATGGAAGCAGCATGATCCCAAGAAATGCTATTGATAGAAGTATTTCTCTTGCGGTATCTTAGAGTAGTCTTATTAATTCTGGCAATTCTATTTTAGAAAGAAAATAACAATATGCTAAACTGTTCTTTAAATATTCCTTTGTTGAGTCATTCCACACTAAAATATAATAATTACAAGGCTATTCCCAAAGGGATGGAAGCCAGGTGCTATTCTTAGGTACGAGACAATCGAATGGGAAACTCCTTCAAATACTTCGCCTTTGAAGCAATAGCCACTTCGAAAGACCTTTCCAGAGAGAATACAGGCTGGAGGCGAGGTTCATTTTTACTGGGCTGTTTATTGTCCATAGGTAATCACCCTTCACTTGACCATTTCATTTTCTATCTCCCATTTATTCCCCACTTTAAGTGTGAGTGTGTGAGTGGGTAATGGCAATGCAGGAAAATGGTGGAAGCCCTCATTCGGAGAAGTATTTTATGAAGCCTATGGCGATGGGAATTGAGAATGAGAGTGAGGATGAAGAATAATCATTCCTTGCCTGTGAGGCATTCTGATGGGTGAATTTTCCGACGACATGAAGTATAAGGAATGGCTTGGTTTTGGAGAATAATGACTTCTTTCCCAATGCCCGACTGATCAGTCCTGATCCCTTCATGCACATCTTTGAGTGGAATGGAGATGACCGCTAGTAGATAGATCACAGCCGTGATTGTTTGGCTCTTGGCGAGTGAAAAGATGATTTCTAGTGATTAATTGCATCTGCGGCTAAGCAACCACCAGGACAGGCAGTTTTTTTGGGCGCGAGAACTTGGGTACCTTAAGGGAGAATGGAACGATGTGTGTGGTGAGCAAATCTGTTCAGTATAATTAAGTCGAACTAAAAAGCCACCTATGACTAAAATTCTTTGGCCGTTCTTTCTACTCTCATTCTTCATGAAGAAGTAAGAGGGAAAACGCATAAGAGATCTTTCTAAAACTTGATTCATCACCCGTCTCGGGTTCTTTTAGATGGTTTATCATCCGATTTTGGCTGTTTTGTACGGTGTTCCCCCATCGCAAACCACACCTTCTCCAAATTCTTTCCAACAGGATACGCAAGAACTTTCCATATCCCGGCAACCGACTGCACCGCGGTCGGTAAAGCAGACATTAAGTAATCACTGGAGATGTAACCAGAATTTTTGAATGCAGAGTTCACAATAGCCGAGGAATAGCGGGATTTGGGGATAGTGCAGTTCCGACCGACTGACAGTTATGGAATGCTCTCTAATGAAAGCAAATAATGTCTTATGGACGCCTGCAATTTGGACCACGCCATTACAAAGCGACTGAACGCAGACTGGACAAATACATGTTTAATTTTTTGCAGCTATTATTAAATCAAGCTCTTTATTTCCACCAAAAAATCGCCTTTTCACTTCTGTTGTCATCGAAATGTTTGTCTCTGTCGAATCCGGAACAACATAGCATATTGGAGTGTGACATTCGGTCGCCAGAGCTTCAAAAAAGCAGTAGAAGCTGCTTCTAATACCTATAGACAAATACATGGGGCCGTGCGGTCTCTAATAAGTTATTTAGCCGTCATTTTCTGCATTTTAAGGTTACCTAGGTGGTCAGTTCAACGCCGGCATGATCACGTATCCTCCTACTTTTCCGCACTCTTTATCGGTCATTTGATTGGGTCGGTATTCCACAGACCTCGATGAGAGGCGAATAGGATGAACTGTAAAAGGCTAAGTAGAGAGAGAATGAAAGTGGAGGGAGGAACGCGGAGGAGGTGAGATAGATACGTCTACTTTCAGATTAAAATAGGAGTCTAGGGAGTTCAAAGCCTCTTCGCTCCACCACAACAGTCTTGGTTTAAGTTTCTACTGCTGAAGTGAGGCAACCCTCTGATGGCCTTCAAAGATCCAATGCTTCTTCCAAGCTAGTTAGACGCAAAAGGAATAGCTTGAGACAATACCTGAATGAAATAGCAAAAAATGAGCTTGAAGTCCCTCATCTCTTTTTACTCCATGGTTATAGGAAGTGGAAGAAAAGCCTCTCAAACAGCTTTTTTTTGTACTTTGTGGTAGAGGAATTTTTATATGCAGGTGAAAAAGCACTTAAGACAACAAAGAAGTGAGGACACGGACACCAATGGAGATTCGGAGATCCTATCGAGTGCGTTGCGGCAACTTTTATACATTTCCGCCATCAGTTTGTACTGTAGCATCGCAAACCATTCCTCAGATCGCCTATGCTCTCAGCCATTCAATCTAAATCTCGAATTAGGTCTAAGAATGGGTTTGGCAGTAAAAAGAATCCCTAATTGATTGGCGGAAGTCCTTGTCTAGGCTTCATAAAGGTAGGTATCTACCATAGATGGCTGGGTAGGTGGAGATTCATAACAGTCAATTATGCAGAATTTAGGCAACTTCTCCAAACTTGTAGGAGCTACCTAAAACCTCAGAAAAGGTTTCGACTTTTGAGGTTCCAGACATTTCTTAAAGAAATATAATTTTTTAAATATTCCAGAATATCCTTAAATTTCAGTTCGCCTCATTAACCAATATGACGCGAAGGCAAACTTGTACTCACTGCAAGGTCAAGGTCATTCAAAATACCATAGTTGGAGAAGAATGGAATTACGCGTCTTTTCCAATATTGAGCTGACAACCCCATACGCACACACCGTACCACCCCCTCCGCCTCGCCTTCTAGTACACATTAGGTAAGACGTCCCTGTTACAAGAATAATGATTTTGGAACTCTACAGGATCCAATTTCACTCTCATGAACATTAGTTGACAACATAATGACTAATAGGGAATTGGGACCATGTTTAAAGGTTCAAAAATATTTGCAAACTATGTTGAATTGACAAGCCTTTAGAAGAACGGCTGGATAGCCATGAAGCAGGACCACGGTGGCTACAATGAAATAATGCACAGATTCATAAGAAGGTCTGTAGATGATAGGTTACAGTTTTCAGTCCCTTAAAACCTTAACCAGCGAGTCGCGGTTATTTTGAAGTCTCTCCCACATCATGTCAGAGGGCCCGACCTTACATGCAGATTAGAATTCCCGAGTAGACGAGCGCCTACATATCCACGACCTTTGGCATTCTACCGGTACTACCGGTATTGCTACCAACCTCGTCACTGATCTGCGTGGGTGCTTTCCTGAGGCACTACAGCTGCATTATTTACTTTCCGTACCCCTGAACCACTAAGATAGCCATCAAGAAAAAACGCGACTGAATGAAGAGATTATTCTGTAAACCATAAAGAAACAAACAAAGCAGACAGGTAAAAACGCATCAAAATTGGGTCCCTAAAACTTTTTGTTAAGACACTTTGTAGATGTGGAATGAAAAAGGGGAGTAATTTGCCATCTCCTCACCAACCTGAGAATTCCACAACCCAACCGAAACGCCTTCTGGGGTTGGATTTTTTTCCAAATGTCATCAAAGGACTTGGCTGTCCACAACATGTGAACTTGATTTAAAAAAAGTTGTTAATGCCCAAATTGCCTTTTTAAATTAGTAAAAATATTCTCTAAATTATTTAAAAGAAAAAAAGAGGAAGGAGATAACTGTGTGAATTTAGCCCAAGAAGTAAAGCTGATTGGATGATAAATTGCATCTCCTTTTCTTCTCCTGCTGTGACATTTGCATTTGACCTGTCAAAATTAAGATTAAGTGCCAAAAATTTTTAAAATTAACAATTTGCTCTTCTTCAAACTGAAAATAGGAGAAGAAATTTGGACTTATAGATGGGGAAAATAGGTAAAAGTTGCTGTCACATACTCTTACCGGAGGTCACTGCTTGATTCCTTGCATTCCTCTTCTCTCTGCGGACGGTTTTAGATCCTCGAATGGAGAAGGATGGCTGCAGGAAGGCATCTTATATTGTTGTTTTATGTCTCCTCCTTGGTAATTGGTGACATCGGCGCAGCCATGAATTCTGTGTAATCTGATCTCGTGTCAACTGAAAGGTCAACTTGAGCACCTCTAAGAAGTCCTTAAAAATTGAGGCGCAAAAGACTCTGGGTGCAGTGGACACAGGAACCAGGAAGGCAACCATCACGAAGGGGACTGAAAAGCGTGGGTATTTGAACAAGTAAATCAAACACCTCGGGCTGGTAACTTTTCCGCCTCAGTCGCCGGTGCTTAAAATACCTTTCGAAGAACCACGAATGACTTTCGTAAACTGGAGTTCTGATTGGAGAAGACACTCGAAGTCGCTGTCACCGATGAATCTTGTCAACTTTGATAGATCCACAGTTTTGTTCTTTATATGGACTACATTGAGGAGGTTCCCTGAACTTCCACTGACATGGTCAACTGACACCCTCCCTGCTTAAAGAAACAATTAACCTAAAGCATTCAGCATTCTTTCCACCCTCCTACATTGCCACCGTTGGAACAATATGAATTTACCTATCTGGATCCCACACAGGAGGGAGAAGCTTGAAGAGGACACCATTTATTCGCCCAAAGCAGATATATAACATCGAAGCAGCTCCTCGACAGGCCTTTCAAATTTTTCAAAGCTGACATTCCTAAAGCTCTTGACTACCCGGAAGAGCAAGAGATTGGAAATGGATTGACTTCACTGGCTTCCTCCGCCTAGGGATCCCACATACCCCCATGGCAGTAGATCAGACGCTCCCTCATTGCATTTTTACTTGATCCTGTTAGCCTACCACCGTCTGTTGACTCAAGCCCAATGCAGAAGAAGATTTGAAAGCGATACACGGAGGGACATGGCCGCTAGGGGACTAAGAGTGGGACCGAAATCAAGCGAAGAGTGAAGAATCAGCGAAGCCGAAGACAGCCTTTTACGTATTGTGTAGGTGTCGGTGTTTTGTGACACAAGAAAGCGGACGGAAGTGTAGATAAGATCAGGGAGATGAAGGGTGCTTTACTATGAATGACAGTCTGCATCCAACCAATCAAGTTAACTGCTCGACGAAAGTAGGTTTTAATTGTTTTGTTTTACCCCTCTGTGTTAAACACAGAGTTTCTCTGAGGGAGCTGGAAGGGAAAAGTATGCTTGAATAGTCAAAAACCTGCGAAATAATGTATTAAAAATTAAATTCTCTGATTTTCCACCAAATCTTCGTATGTTGGATGTCAAATACGAGGACGAGATGATAATGTGTTCACCGGCTAGCAGCAAGTATAGCCTTCGTACTACTGATAGCCCGCAAGTAGGTCGTGGACCAGGCCGCATGCCGCTAATTAACCTGCTCAGGGACTGAACTCGCGGAACAGCAAGTCATGATGAACGAAGCGGGCATCTACTTGCCTAGCAATGGTAATGGGACACAAAGAAAATGGGAAATTGAAATGATGAGGGCTTTAAAGGCATTCTTGCATCTGCCAGTGCCCATCGCAGTCGTGGTGGTTCCATTCTCGTATAAAAAGTTGTATTTACCCTTGATACACGGGGAGTGGGTAGAGAAGGCCATTGTGGACATGGTGATGATGTGAGATTTTAGAGGCATTTAAAGTTTTATGGAGAAATCCGAGCTCTCACCTCCTCCTCCTCCTCGGGGATCAATGGCGCCTAGTCAGTCACGAGGTGGTCCAGTCCCTTCGCTCTCCGCCTAAAAGATGCATTCAAACAAACATGCTTTAAGTGTCTACTTATGCAAAAAAGTCTCCGACGGCCTTAGACTATACCACCCAGTGTAAGTACAATGGTAGAGCCTTAAGTGCTCGCGCAACCAAAACGATGAGTTTAACTAGAGAACAAAAGATGACAAACCCTCTCCCCTTCCTTATTTGTCCTCGTCCCCTACGCTCCCCTTGGCCAACCTCCCATGCCAGCCTTCACAACGCAGTCGGTGGTGTGGGAAAAACATCCACACGCCAACCGCGTCAGTCATCAAATTTCCATGTAGCTAAGAATATGTCTGACTGCCACGTCACTTATCCCTCTTGGCAAGCCCACTAAATCCGGAGTTGCATCCTATCGAAAAATGTTCTATTGGGAGAAGGGGAAATCGTACTGGTCAGTACACATGTCTACAATTAGCTGTAGGAACATTAAATAAAACAGCTACGCGGGGATAAGGTTTTACTGTTTTGAATTCAGTGAGTGAATTGAGGGCACCCCACCAGAGCGATTAAGGAGGCTTCATAGAATGTAGGCAAATCTGTCACTAACCTTGATCACTGCACCAAATTTGAAGAGACATGACCTTTATGGTCATATTGCCCAATCTCAGGGCGTACTTTTACTGCCAACCCTGGCGGGAAAAGTTATTCCCACTAACAGAAGTTGACTGTCGCTAGGGCGATTGTTCTTCTGCGCTACTTGAGTCAGTTGTTTGGGGCATTAAAGGCAACCCGAATATATTTGGGACAGCGAAGTCGGTGACCTGTATTTTTGTATTACCTCCCACATGTATTACCTTTGAACGATTGGATTTTTTTAATCTAGGCCCTCCATTACTCAAATAACAAAAAAAGGATAGCAATGGAAAAGACTTTTGTCCTTTATTACACCAGTATGACTTGACGGAGGGGAAGTTGTGCAGTAAGATTTTGGTTTATAAGTCAGTGGATGGATAGATGCGTGGTAGATAAATGGGTCCAAGGATGGACAAAAGGATCAAAGTTGTCCCTTTAGAAGATGGAGCGGAAGTATTAAAGCTGGTCAAAGAGGTCGTCAAATCACATAGCTTGACTGTCTTTCCATCAAACAATGGATTAAATTATGATGGCAGGTGCACTTCCCCGAGCGTCTGTTCACCTTCTTCGAGGAGACGAGGCAACACTTCAAGACCAAGAAATTCCCCATAACTTTTACTCAACCCTTCCAGACTTCCAAAGTGGATACTTTGACTAATTGACAGCCTTCAAGCCCTAATTAAGCAGGAAAGACAACTTAAGAAAAACTTTTGACGCATTGACAATGCCGACAGGAGCAGCACCGATGTGCTGTCTCGCATGTACTTTAGAGGATTTTATTGTCCTAGGGAAAAAACCACACACACACATATCCTATGTCCTCCTTAAGTTGCGTGTTTTGTCCAATTTTAAAGCCGTCTACTTGGATCGTATACATCGCGCACACTCCATCGCGCCCTCTTCCTCTCGCTCTCAATCTCCCCCAAGTTTTTACGCCTATTTACGTCTGCACGACCGCACAAATCTGCCTTGAATAATTCAAGAGAAGGGACAACTTTTTTTGCAGTACGAGCTTACTAACTTTTGTTGCTATCGCTTAAATATTACACATTAAAAAGCCGAAAGGAAGTGGTTTTACTTCTGCCTGGGAAAGGATCAGGTTCCTAATGCACCTCTTCCCACCATCAGAGATGATATTTGACCGGCATTAGAGGAAGAGGGAAAAAGCAACTGGTAGCAAGACATTATTCCATTTCTGGTGAATACTTGCAATAAAAAAACTGGTTTGGGCAAAGAAATTAGATGGCGAGTTGTTGTGGTATCCATAGTACTTCCAAATGAACTTCTCAGCTATTAATTTCTCAATACTAAGAGGTGTTCACATCGAACGGGGACTTCTTGACAAGGAAAGATTCTACGACGCACAATTTCACCGCCTCAGTGAGTGCTTCGCCTACGAAGCGAAGGTAAGTATCCAGGTTTCGGCATTTTTGTTAATGCAATCCAAAAAAATTGGAAACCTTACTTGGCTAATTAAAACAGTCTTTTGCTCCCGTAACGTCTGAATTACTTGAGGAAACCTGTCTTGAGCTTTCGAGAATTTCAAGCGTCATCCTCAGAGGCCTCAGAAAAACTGGTGTTTTCCAGAATTTTGCTATAGGATTAGGGGAAATTGTGTTGAAAGAAATGCCAGATGTAGGCTGGGAATACAATAGGCGCATCTAGGATCGTCAGTAACGAACGAAAACACGACTGCGTCTGAATTGTTCATTCATAAAATTGTCCTTTAAGACATCTACGGATAGAAGGGGATTTTGCAAGTTGTGGCACTTAGTTCAACGAGTACTTCGTTTACCAACGAATACTGCTTTTGCCTGGTGTCTGAACTGGTTCGCGATATATGCGCCAAGGAACACACTCACTACCCGCAACTTCGTGGAGGAACTCTATGATAGAGGTAAATTATGACTTGGACTTTCCATCCATCCATCCACCCATCCATCCATCCATCCAGTAAATACTCATTTATCCACCTTTGACTTTCCGAAAAGGTTGGAAACTATCATAATTTTAATATTTTAAGGAAATACCTAAAATATTCCATCCAAACTGAAAGGTGGCTAAATCAGCTTCTGGCTTTGATGAATGTTCTAAAAATTTTTTATCCTGTCAAATTTAATGTTTGTTAATTTCAAAATTTGGCCTTGCACTGAGGATACCTTTATCCCACTTTTACTATTTAAAAATTTTCAAAACTTGCGCTCTTGTCCTCTCTCCCTCTTCCGATTGTCCAGTAAGAGGTAGATACAGGCTTCCAATGTTTTTTCAATAGCTGCATGTTCAAAGCCGTTTAAAGTAGTATTGATTCATAAGTACGGTGAGCTACCAATGGAGTCCACGTACAGATTGTACTCCTGGTACATTCCGCATTCAAGGCCTCCGCAGTGAAGTCTTCCTCTACCCCTTTTCCAGTCCGAAGCAGGAAAGTGCCCGTTTTTTCACATGTAAGCAACACTTCGGACGCAATGGATTCACGCAATCTGCATAAAAAACCGGTCTGTAATGAGGGAGAAAAGGTGGGTTTGTAAGCATAGGGAGAAGATCTAGCAATAACCGCTACATCTAAATAGGTTAACAGCTGAAGTTCTCCATTTTCAAACTGTCTATAATAGTTGACAAAGTGTTTTTCGCTTAAAAAATGTTAAAATTCCTCAAAAAACTTCAAGATTTGCATGCTAGATCTACTACTTTTTCCTCCTTTTGAATGGTCAAACCGCCTGCCTCTAGCTTTACATCGCATTTCGTGCAAACGAAAATGGCCTAAAGGGCTGGCGATGCGGTTGACGCTTAACTTGAGGGTGGGTAGTTGAAATGACGAGAAATATTTCATGTTTCATGGCTGCTTTAGGATACATTAGCCCCTGCCGTGAGCTGGGTACGCAAAATTCAAGCTTCACTAGCATTGGCGAGTTGTTGCCTTTTTAGGTGGGAATTAAATTCGGGTAATTTTACACCTAAATGAAGGTGTGCCTCACCAAGTCCTCTCCTATGAGCGGCAGATAGAAAAACAGAAATGAAAACGAGGGTAACAAAACTCTCTTTCATATGTGAGAATGCATTAAAGCGTGTTTGACCTTCTCCACTGTTAATGACACGCATTTATAATTTGTGTGATTGGTACTACTTAAGAGAATTCATCCTCCGCGTTTACTTTTCTACCCTTTAGGTGGGAAGCGGACAGATTACACCATATTTTTAGCTGGCTATACATCACCACTTTTAAAGGAGGAAGAGACAAATACTGAACATTTTACTATACAATTGTGATGATTTGTAATCTCTCCCTACACTACTTACTACAAGATGTGATCCTCTGTCCATCCTTTTCGATCAGAGGGTCTGAAGGCAGCAAAGTTATTACAGACGCTAATCTACTTGCGCAAAGTTTATTCTAATCCTTCCTTTTAGCGTCAGAAAGAGAAAAGAAGGAAGTTACAGTTGCTACTTACGAGAGACATATCGCAAATAGCTAATTCATTCGTAACCGATACTACTTAAGAGAATTCATCCCCAAAGTTTACATTGCGTCCATGTAAGCGGCAAGCTGTCAGATTGTGGTTGACCAGATGTCAAAAGTTCCAAGGGATGATGGGGCAAACACTGATCTCTGTCCTATAAAATCGTGGCTGTTTGCAACCCCTACCTCTAGGGTGTCCTCTCAATCCGGGGGTCTGGAACAGATCGAGTGTAGAAGAGGAAAAGAAGAGGGTATTACAGAAGATAATCTATTTTTTTCAGATGGCGGAAGAGGGATTTGAAAGACCGCAGTCAAATTTATTCTCCAGATTGAAGGAGAAGAATATTTAACTCACTTCATCCTCCTGATCACAATGGAACCAGGGGTCCATATAAATTCATTGAAATTCAAATAGAAAAACTTAATGCGCTTATGCCAAAACAAATTATTTTGGTTTAAAGCATAAATGAAAATCATACATTACATTACGTAGAGGTTTGTCGAATGAAGAAATGCAGAAAGTGAACTAAGCAATGAGAATTCAAGTTCAACGGCATTCACAAGACCGCACTTTTACGATGTTCGAGATGTTCACCTTTAAGAGGAGGAGGGGGGGGAAAAGGCAAGTGAAGTGGGCTACACCAGGCACAAAGGCGAGACCACACATTCTAAGGGGAAGAAATGGAGGAGGAGGAGGTAATTGAGTACCCACGTGCTAGCAAAAGGTGGTTACACGTCCACCAAAGTTAGGAAAGATCTTTGCATAATTAAAAATGTTTGCTTTTCTTCCCCCTTCTGCATGTGTCGATGGGAGAAAAAGTATTTAAGGGATTGAGTAGAGCAGCCACATACAAGGCATTATTTAATTGTGAAAAAGTCGGCATAACCAGTCCAAAAACAGAAGTAAATGAGAAAAATGAATTCGTCTTTGGTTAATTTAATGGTGGTATTGTGCCAAAAATCTATGTAGGCAAACTTTTCAGACTTTCACTTCAAAAAATGGACTCAACTACTTTAGGTTAGAGAAGAAATTTGCCGTGTATGATGGATCAAGAGACTGAGGATTAGGTGGATACCAAACACAGGAAGGATCGAACAGTTAGGAGTAAGGCGGAGAGATACAAAAAAATCGTTTCTCGGATCAACAGATCTTTACAGAGCATGGAATGGTCTTAAGGTTGGATGCGTATTCAAGAAGGAGTAATAGAAAGAATAAGAGTGATGAAGTAGAGCTTCCTTGCAGCGTGATTAGATAATTATCCAGCAGTTCATCATCCACTCATCTCATACTTATCCCGTACCAACCCCGTAAACATCCCTGACAATTTTTAATACATATCGTATCCGTTCCGTATTCATCCATCCATACATCATGTGTCCATTCATCCCCTATCCATCGGCCATCCCATATTATCCATCTATCTATCCTGTATCCATCCCATATCCATCCTGTATACATACTGTATTCATCTAACCATTTAATATTCATACTTTTATCCTATATCTGCCCCATATCCATCCATCCATTCATCTACCCCTTTATCCATGCATTCATTCACCTGTCCATCTGTCCACACATTTATCTGTTTACTGTTCCGGCGATCTTCGTATGTTTCCCTCCACCTTAAAGTATTTAGCCTTCTGAAAACAGTAAAGAGACAGAATTTAATAAAATGACTAAACATTTGACAAAATGTAGATTGTATTTGACCATATTTGAAATGCTACTGCATGCAGGCGAACGTATCCACTATGCTAACATGTCAATAGAAAGAATGTCAAAGTGGTCAGCAGCTGATGAAGAAATGCCACTCCTACAGCACTCTGAAACAGTAAGTCATGCATAAAGCGGAGACGATATTTGAGTACATGATTGTCTACTCTTCCACATTCTTGACCACATGACGGGAGAAATATGAACAATCTAAATTGTAGCCGGTAAAAATCATTTAAAGGGAAAATCCGACCTCTCTACAGACAAGTTCCAGCACTTTTAATCCGACTGATTTGAAGGGAAGATCTTGTTATGATCGGTAAGTTGGTCACATTATGCAACCAAACTTTCTAGCTATTTACTGAATGCAGATTAAAAGACGGATTTCGTCCGCGTAGGCGATCAACTTTTCACCTATTCACGGACAGAGAATAAAGAAGTGAATGAGAGATGTGACCATACAAAGCACTAATGCCGCAAGCTTGCACTCCTAAGCTAGAAGCATCACTCACAGTTGAAGAAATGATTATGCAAACAATGAGGATCGAATAAATTGAGGAGGCAGTTCTCTGAAGGCAGATGAAGGCCAAAGATGTGACCACGAAGTGTTACATCATATCTCCTATCTCCCTGATCTCGTAGCAATCTAATCGGCACAAGCTGCAAAAGGCGAAGGAGTCTGCAGGGTCACACATGCCGACCTAGGCTTTCATTCAGTGAAAAGAACTTCTTCACTGGGAAAAATCGGTCCTTCCTCCTCGTCCATTCCCTTCAAGCAACTAGCCTTGTTGGGATAGCCACCACCCAGGCTTAGGCTCATCTAACCGAAGGGGGAAAGTAGCAGAAAAGTTCTCATTTCTTGTGCGATTCGGAGACGCCTTTTCTGTAAGTGAATTGTCTACCGTTGTTGTCACAATGGCCAAAGTAGAGGTACTAAGCTAACCTACTCTTCGTCCTATTTGAAATTAAGACCAATCCCTCCTTCCTACGCCCTGATGGACAGAAGTGAAGTTGAATTCGAAACGTGAACTTATCTTGTGCGACTAGATTTGACTTTGCCTTAAGAAAATTCCGTCTTCCATACACTACCGACTTCCACTTCGATAAATGCTGTAAGGGGTAGCATGGTGGATGCCCGATTGGGACAAGCGGAGACAAAGGCGGTTTGGCATGTAATCAAATAAATTATCACGACTTCCTTAGGGATACCATCTGCTGGCGTTGAATGATCATCCTTGTCATGAGTGTAGTCCAAGACAACAAAATTATTTGTGGCTCTGATGATTGGCTAACAATTAAAGAAAGATTTGAAACCACAGCGGTCAACAAGTTCACCGAGTTCCTTCCGATGGGTCAGCTTGACGTGGAGGCACTTTAAGTGTGATAGTATCCACGAAAAGGTCAAGGTCACTGTTAAAACCATAGGAGTGCGAGAATGGAACCACATTTTTATGTTCCCAGCATTCAGTCCGGGAATGCATTGCTCATTCGCAAGCCGTATCTTCAGCTTGGTCAGACCTGTGGGCAATAAAGTCTTCCTTACTGAGGAATTTATCTCTGACGCCATTTAATGTCAATAAGTGACAGCGTCCTTCAATGTACTCGAGGATGCCATTCTCCATAAATAGGCTGAATGGCATTTTACCAAATCAACAGACTTAATCTGGGCAAGCCTGAAGCAAATAGTTCAGGACTGTTACAGGACTTGAGAGTCCAGTCTACAGCACCTCCAGACCCAAAGCGCCAGTCTGTTGACTCTGCTGGCATCAGTATCGCAGAGTCGCACAATGGTTCACAGTCTGGTTCCAATTTTGACCTTCTGCATGAAGATGCTTCCCGGTATGAATTTTTCGTAACTGATGATAGGTGGCGAGACCTCCTTCTACAGTAGAAACCGAGGATGATCGAATACAATATCTCTGACGGACGCGTTCTTAGGTGAGATTGTCTCAATATTCAAAGACGTTTCGGTGAACAATCTCCAATTGCCAATCTGCACACAACAACTTGAATTTAATAGAGTGCAGTGACGGGGACTACGTAATGCTTGCAGAAAGGTTCATGAGGGAAATAACTAGTTACCAGTTGAATTGCTTCATCTTCGTCCACAGTTTACATTCGCCTACCGAATCAGACATTATCGTGTGGGCGCCCTCCATGGTCCTATGAACAGCTTCAACTGAGTATCAACGTTTGGTAGGACAAGCAACATAGGTGGCATGTGCTGAGCTCCCAACCACTCTTCTTTGTGGACCTACTGATTGCTCTCCTCTGTCAACAGCTACAATAGCATTCAAGCAAGCCTGCAGTTACATATCTCGCCGACTTCGGAGGACGTTCTTCCGTGAGTTCGTGGCTAGGAGATTTAGTGGGTAACAAAACTTGATAGAAAGGCATTATTTAAACCAAAACGGTGTTTTGGTGATAACACACATTACAGATCTATAATATCGTGGCACAATTTAATTAAAAAACGGGATGAGGGAAGTAGCACTTTAAAAGTTTGTCTAAGTCGTTTTTAACTGACACCGCTGACCATTTAATTGGAATGGCCTTGAATTATGAGTAGTATGGAGAAACATCGGATCTTTATAAGCAGCTCCTACTACACTTTTCTGCCGAGTAAGTTGTAACCAGATTGGTTTGCTGGTAGTAGATGCCTCTTAGGCTGCCAGTTCTTCCCTTACACCCTTTTACATACCACCTACACCAACTCAGAGTTTTAGGGCAAGCATCACTTCATTTCCACACGACTGCGATTGCTTGGAATGGTGCATCTCAGACGCAAGTGCTCACTAGACCTCGTCTATTTACTTTGCCCAACATCCATCGACTCAATATCAACTCTATCTCGTATGATTCCTCCACCCCGCATCTATCCATTTGTCCTCAATCTGTCTATCCATCCATCCTTCCTTCGATTTTATATCCACCTATTCTGTCTCCATTCATTCTGTACCCATCCATCCATTCTGCATCCATTCACTCACCAATCCATATGGTGCCATTTTGGTAGTCCTGTGCTGAATATGTCTACAAACCCAGGCAGAAGTAACCCTTGCACCACCAGCGCTCATGGAATTTAAGAACATCTTGAAACCCGAACCTCACTTGGACTGAGCAATATCACGTACAGATAGACTTTAAATATGGTGATAATTGCTAGGAGGTTAAGACGATGAGGTGAGAACGGGATGACCTCGCACATTTAGCGGCTCGCCTGCAAATGCATGTCCAAACGCGCCCTGCTCCCTAATTAATTAAGATAAGTAGCCGGTAAATAGCGCCATGTTGGCGGTTTCACTTTTGGATTATTCTGGTTGGTAATCCGACAAATCAAGCAACATCCTTACTATCAATTCCTCCACATTAGGGTTAATTGCAGACCCAGGCAAGGAATTTTATCTCTTTAAGTTTACCAGGTATACTACTTAAAAGCCTTATTTATAGATAGGTTTTGACCTCATATTATTTTGGGACTCCTTTCTGCCTCCATTGATTTACATAACCGGATTTATAAAGTGCTAAAAGTACGTCTTCCTTTGGGATGGCACTCCGGTTAGCTTTCCGGATTTATAGCCACAAACTGCAAATTTTTTCGGAAATAGTGAGCCAACAAGTCAGTCACCACAGTTATAGCGGAAAATCTGCCACCGAAGATACTCATGCCATACGTTGGTTTTTAGTCCATACAGCTTAAAATCCAAAATAAAAGCAAATTTATTCTTTGTCTAGTAGTATCCAAACATCGTATTAAAAGGTTTAAATCCAACCAGTCAGGTGGCGACACAACTAGGCGCAGTCATTCATCATTTCTGTGTGAGGCTGTCAGTGAACGCTCCATCACCTCTGCATAATTTATCACTCTTCTCATTACCTCACAATCAAAACCCAAAAATTTTGCTCTGGATTACCTTTAATTTGACTTTTTTTCAGCAAAACCACTTGTTTAGCCATGTAGCTGTCAAGACATTGTTTACATTCTTCTAATACCTCGCATAGCCTGTCATCTATCTATGTTTCCCTTTACACTATAACGTGTTCTCAGACCCATTTACAAAGCAGGATAGACATGTGAACCTTTTTCCCCTTAAATTGTTTTTATATTATTCCCCTCCTTTTCTTCATTACCACTTCCTTCCAAGGGTAAGCCATTTTGCCGCAAAGACCAAATCAGAATGCATTAGGGCAAACAGTTTGAAAGTAGAAAGACGAGTAATCTTTCTATGGAGTGTTAAAATCCTCTGACTACGGGAACAACTAAAGAGTTAAAACTAATCTTAAAATCCGACAGGTTTGATTTTGCAAGTTACGTGGCGCTTAACTCCCTTCCACAGCGTGTACGCACTGGCTAGTATAGAAAGTCACAGCATCGAGACGGTAAAAGAAAAGTTGAGTTAGTCCCTTTTCCCTTTAGGCGTCGTTCTTAGCGTTCTGATTAATCACTCTCCGGCTTCGGTGCATCGCACATCATCCACGGGTCAGGAAAATGTCAGATTCTCTGAGTTCACCGTTTCCGCTACCCAACATGGCTCAAGGTAGTTGATTAGTCAACCGCTACTGTAAAAACGTTTACTCAAAAGGGATTTAAGTAAGCACTGGACTGTTCCACAGGGCCATTATTTTGCACCCATTCCGCTTGGTCATCTTCCCCAACTTCGGTACTGCTAGCCTATCTACCCGGATTTTATCCAACTACTACAATCGCTAAGCAGGCAATTCGAGTGATTGACAAGGTCCTTCCTTATGTACGGTTACCTTCTTCTGTGGCGTTGATCCAGTCAGTGATATCAAGACTTTTGACCATTTTTCCTGGGCTTACTCAATGATACCTCCATTGAAGTGCTCGAGTCTCCCTTGACGCTGTTACAAGGTATGGAGAGTGGTTGATGGGGTCCTGATGGTAGCAGCAGAGGTCAATGTCGACCAGAGCCTACAAATACTGGTTAGTCCGCGTAATTAAGCATAAAATTTATTGACAATGGCGTCACTAAAGCATGCATTAAACAGAGTAAATAAG